CTCTTCTACCTGTCCTCTTGCACCAGTGGTTCCTGAAGTGAATAAATAAGAAGAAATTTCCAGGAACCCATGTCTAGCTGCCTCCTGGTTATTGCAGCACAGCTGCTTCTTTTCTTTACCAGCATCCTGTGCTGCTGACAGAAGCACCCCTAAACCCACGCAAGAACAGAGAGCGTGCTGCTGAGGTGTTTTTTGAGACCTTCAATGTGCCAGCATTGTTCATCTCCATGCAAGCTGTGCTTAGCCTGTAAGTGTCTTTCGTCTTTGATTTGTGCTTGTGAAATGTTGCTGTGAAGTCCATTTTTTCACCAAACCCCCCCCAACAAAACCCTGTGGAAGACCACACTGATATCTGACTTACCCCTTTTTCCAGCAAGAACTGAAGCTCGGTTTTAATTTCTATAATAAACAGTTTACAGGAATTTTCTGAACTATGAGGAGAACTAGGTTTTGGGGAGGGGGGGGTTTGTGGGTAGTTTTGGGTTTTTTTTAGCCCCTGTTCATGTGAAATCTCTGCGCCCTGAGTTGAGCCTGGGTGTGCTGCATGCTTGGGTTGGCTTTGAATTGCTTGTTCTGTTTGCCCCTTTGCTAGTTACGCGACTGGGAGGACCACAGGAGTGGTGCTGGACTCCGGGGACGGCGTCACCCACGCGGTTCCCATCTACGAAGGCTTTGCCATGCCGCACTCCATCATGCGGATTGACATTGCTGGCCGTGATGTCTCACGCTTCCTGCGCCTCTATCTCCGGAAGGAAGGCTATGACTTCCACACAACCTCCGAGTTTGAGATTGTGAAGACCATCAAGGAGGTGATGTACTGTCTGTTTCTGTGTTTATCCAAGAAGAGGTTTCTGCCCAAGGGAAGTCATGACTCGTGAAATCTAGCGGGAAGTGCCAGCCTACCTGGCTCTGCACCTCATTCCTTTATCTACCTGAGGGAGATTAGGGCCACTAAGATGATTAGAGGACTGGAGCATCTCATACATGAGGAAAAGCTGAGAGAGCTGGGACTATTGGCTGACA